TTTATAGGATTTTTTTACAACAATACAAAGTTGGCCAGGTGGTGGACAAAAGTAAAAAAAATACAATTTTAAAAATTATATTATTGTATACCATTTTATAGCTTAAACATTCAGGTTTTATAAAATGTACATATTTTTGTATAATTATCATGCCATATGCAATAAGCTGTCTAAGCTGCAGAGTAAAAAGCTTTTTTTTAAAAAAAATTTTTCCAATTTTTTTTTAATTTGACAATATTTATTGTTACCAATAAGCATAGAATAAATGTTAATTTTAAAACCTCTCTTTTTATTGCATAATTTAATAAAATCAAGTATTATCTTTCAAATGAGATATTACAACACTATTTTGCATGTAAGTTATGTCAAATAAAATGATTCCAAATGACAGGATATTTTAAGCATTTTTTTTAGTTAAAATTTCACTTATATAGTCAAATACTTTTGCAGTCCAAAGCGGTCCAGTAGTTTGAGACTTGAAACATATTGTTCAATTATGTATATTATCAATATAAATTTGGTTAATACTCCAGGGATGTCCGCCTGGTTTCTAATAATGATTTTTACAAGTTAAATAATGTACCCGATTTTATGTGGTGAAAACATTATATCTATTTTATTCTAAATATATATAAAATCTCAGCAAGACTAGATGTTACAAACTTGTTTTAATATTATTACATCTTAAAATACCTATTTATAAGATTTTGTAAATGAAATTCATATTTTTATTTAGTTAAAACATGCAATTATTGATATTTAATCTTATCTAATACAAGAAAACTTGAACTTAGCTAATCCTAATATTTTGGATGCAGTTGTAAATGTGATAAACGTAACTGCAAATAATAACCTGTCTAATTTCATAAAGCATCTTTTACAAAAGTATATATGGAAAAACTCTAAAATTCATTTTGAAGAGAATATCAAAGAGTGGCAACAACAAATGAACCAATATCAGTTCAATTTGTAATTAACAATGCTACTAACTGCTTCCATTGATAAAGAAAACTCTGTTCTTATCCAACTGTAGTATCTGGCAGGCCCCAAATGAATTTTGATACTTTAATTGTTAAAACAAAGAAAAGAAGATTGACACCATTAGTTGCATCATATTCATCTTATGAACTGTGTTTGTATCAGGTTAAAGTTTGCACCAAGATGGTAAAGAAAAAGAAGATAAAGCTTGTTCTGATAATTGTTTTACAATTATCAGAAAATATGAGTTTTGATTCAAAAAATACTTTTAAATCAAAATTTTTATATTACTTATACACAAAAAAGTTTAAGCTTTTGGTTTCATTAATCTAGTTTCATACTAGTACACACTGTGGTAATTATGGGAGTAATTCAATAAAGTTATTACTTTTTCCAGATTTACATTTTTTCCAGTTTATATTTGCTAGGGTTAATATAATATGTGGTTGCTAAGCAAAATTAGGTATCCATAGCAACCCAAAATTAAAACTAATGTTACTATTGAAACTGCAACCCTCGAATTAGTAAACAGTGCAAAAATGGTTTATCTTTTTTATATGAGATTTTGTCCAGTAAAAGTGAATTCTGCCCACTAAGCAGTAAGATTATCTAACATTAATGAATAACTACTGTTACTGTGATGTGCAAAATTGGTTAAACAACATAAGATTATATAATCGCCAAACAAACTTAAATGATATTTCCAATGTCTGCTTTGTATTGGTTAGAAACAAGATTAAAAACTCTAAAATTGTTAGAATCAGATGAAGGTAATTGGATGTGAAAAAATCAAGAAAGGATTTATATTTTTGACAGTCAACAGTTTATTTTACCATTATGTTCTTTCATTATATTTCAAGATGTCACGATTTGAACAAATTTGATAAAGTCATCTCTTTCTTCAATTTAAACAGTAAGACTTTATTCATGATTGAAAATTGTTAAATTTTTAACCATGGTTATTAAAAAGGTTTAACCTTGATTAAAATGATTACAAAAATCTTTAATCGTGATTGTAAATTATTTTTAGTGCTTAATGCTTGTAAATTTTAAATAACATTAATTTCAGGATCATACTAACAATTGATAAGTTGCTTTTTTTTGTTGGTTTTTGTGCCATGTGAAGATTTTGCATCATTCTAAAAAAAAAAAGTTACAACATTGTCATGACAATTAAATCTCTCTGCAAAATACAATAAATAATTTAAAATATGCACATTATGAACAAGATTATTCTTACCATACGATGATGTGTAGTGTATCATAGAGTAAAAGCAACATTAGGTTCTCATGCCCTAAATATATTGAGGACAGAAAAAGATTTCAGTTTCCTAGTTAACTCTTTTGCTATGCAATATAGTTATAAAGCAAAAAATTTTTCTAAAAAAACAAGATGCAAAACATGTATTTTTTTTTAAATATATTTTCTAGTTGAGGGTTACCTTTTTATTTTTCAACAACATCTTAATAAACTAAATGTATACAAATTAAATGAATTTAGTTTGTTTATGTAGTAATACTAACTTATGAATGTAATATAATATAAAAATATTATAAAATAACATAAATTAGTAATACAAAAATATTATAATGATTGTAATAATATTACATTTATTATATATATATATATATATATATATATATATATATATATATATATATATATATATATATATATATATATATATATATTTATATATATATATGTGTGTGTATATATATATATATATATATATATATATATATATATATATATATATATATATATATATATATATATATATATGTGCGTGTATATATATATATGTGTGTGTATATATATATATATGTGTATATATATATATATATATATATATATATATATATATATATATATATATATATATATATATATATATATATATATATATATATATGTATGTATGTATGTATGTATGTATGTATGTATTTATGTATGTATATATATACAGACCCTTGCAAGGTTTTCAGAATGTTTTTTTATATTTTGTTGACATAAAAAAAAAATTTAAATGCAAGACCAGAAAATTTTTTCTTTTTTTTTTCTTTAATTATTTGATAGACTGCCTGCTTAAACCAAACCCTCAGTTGATATAGCAGCACTCCATTGCGAGTCAAGCTATTTGTCAGTTGATATACAGTATTAAAAAAAAATTAAATTAAAAACAATTTATTTAAAAAAAAAAAAATAAAAACATTGTTTATATTTTTAAAAACATTGTTTATATTTTTAAAAACATTCAGAATGTTTTTAAAAACATTCTGGTCAATTAAATTCTGTTCAATTAAATTTACATTTTTGCAGTTTTAAAAAAAAAAAGATTAGTTTGCAATTAAATTAATGGTTTTTTTTTTAACTTTATGACAACACAGAAACGTTGTATAAAAATCAAAAGTAATTAAAATTAACGTATTTGTTGTTAAAAGAATCATTATTTACCTTCCGTACTCTCAAAGCCAACAATTTATAGAACTATATATATATATATATATATATATATATATATATATATATATATATATATATATATATATATATATATATATATAAACATACACGGTGTAAGGTTAGGGCCGTCTTACTTAACAACAATGCAAATAAACTTTTTGTAATCATAGTTTTTATATAAAATTTATATTTTACAAAAATATTTAATTATCCAAGCACTTAATTCAAAACAAGATTTGAAATGATTGTGCATTATTAATGAAGCATTTTGTACTTAAAACAACATTCTTTCTATAAACAAATTTTAGGAGTTGGAGATTCTGAATAATTTCAAAGCATTCCATTTTTAATTTGTTACATTTTGTTACATTTATTTTTTAACACATCCATGCTAATTGTAATTTTTTGGGAAATCTGCAAGAATAATTTGTATAATATTTTTTTAGATTTAGTTTCCAAAGTTGTCTATAAATCCCCTTATAGCATTAGGGATTGTACCATCATCATTGTACCGTTTTAGACAAAGTTAAAATTTTTTGAATCTAGGTTTAGAAATTATTTTTCAAATTTACAAAATTAGTAAATATTGAAATTCATATCAGAAAATTGAAGTCCATTAATTAATCTCATTTTAATCAGATCGTGCTGTGTAATTTGGATGTCTTCTACTAATTTTTTGAAGTTATAAAATGTAAAGCTTTGCATTATCTTTGTTGCTTGTGGTACAATGTTTTCATAGGTTTGTTGTTTTAAAGCCAAAATATGGGCTCTTTCAGCCATGGTTATTTATTTTAAGGTTTTAAATGAAGCATAGCAACAGTTTTGTAATAATTATCATCTTTTTGTTAAATTTTTTTAATTATAAAATATTTAGAGTAAGCCATAAGTGAAATTTTTTATATCCTTCGCAGTACCTAATTTTGACAAACCTTATCTTTTGCCTTCTTTATTTTATAGTAGCTAAATAATACATAATCCAGGTTTCTATATTGTCTGCATCATTTAAAGTCAATTCAGATCATACTTGCAGTACCATTGTTGTATCCTAATAAGACAGATATTCTGAAGTAGCATTATTGAAACATTTTAACACAAAACCTTTTATTACATTGAGGTAATGTGATTTTGTATACACAAACATAGCTTTGCCTATACAATCATGGTCTTTATTTGTCTGCATTGATTGTTGTTTTTTTGTTTTTCATAACTTAATTTTTATAAATCTTGAAAAATTTGAAATAGTTTAACCTCCTTAAATCTCAGCAGAAATGAACTGCAATTGTCTGACAAAATTTTGGTCTCAGAAAACCGAATTTTTATCAACTGCTGAGTCACATACACACAGCTTTCAAATTTTTTTATCAAATTTTATGTTAAATTAATCTATTTATTTGGATTACTCTAATGTTTTTATTTGTTTATTGGTTTCATTAAAATATTTCATTATTATGTATTTTAAATTAAATTTCAAAATTCACAATTGTGTCATTTATATGCCTCTAATGTGTCTTGTAAAATAGTATTAGTTTAAGTTGATGAAAAATTTGGTATTTAGGTTTTATATATGTCAAATAACCAAGTAAAGTTATGGGAAGAGTTTCAAAAATTGGTAAGATTTAACAATTTAAATTTTTTTTCTTATTTAATAAACTTTATGTGTTTTAAGTGGTACATAAGTGGTACGTAAGTCTTCCCAAATTATTGTTTGCTTTCCAGAAATATTAAAATTTTTTTTTTTTTAATTTAAAAAAAAAAACAACAGCAACTATCTATAGTGCCTTGAAAAATTTCTAAAGTTGATGACCATATGCCTGAGCTGTTACTGACCATATATTTAAGTAGGTTGCAAGCAACCACTTTTTAAGTTTGGAATTGACAGAAAACAAAAGAAAGAAAAAAAAGCAGCTACAGAAGACTTGAAAAATTATAAATTGTTTGAGTCAAGTAAACATGATGAGAGGAGAGAATTTCAAAGCACAGATGTTTAAGAAGAAAAACCTGATAAATAAAAGTTTTTTAGGCATGAAGTAACAGTTACAGTTAACAGATTTAAAGTTGCAGTTAACAATTTAACAAAGTTAAGGTGACTATATTTTAAAAAGACACAATTGTGACATAAAAATAAGAATGATAAAAAAATGGATAAAACTGGCAGACTGTCTTAATAAGTTGGTTATTATTAACTGGACTAGATATCTATGGCACTTCACTAACACTTCCAAAGTTTATATTTGTAAAGTTTTATTGGACAAAGCAGAAATTTTTAACTATTTAAATCATGTTTCTTTACGCATATCAAAAATGTTCAATGCAAAATAGAAAAACTTAGGTTGAACTGTCATTACTAGCATATGTTGCAATTCCAAAAAACTTTTTTTTAAATCTTATGTTTTGATATTTTTAAGAGAATGTGGTTCAGTAGATTTGGTTCATGCTGACGAAAATTTAGTTGTAATTATTGAATCTGAGTACATAATGATGTTTTATTGTGTAATGGGGATTGGTTAATGCCAATGGATATACATTACACTCTTCATTAAAGCTAGGTTTAATAAAAAAATAATCAAATTTTTTTTAAATATTACCTTGCAGTTCGTGTTTTGGAAATATATTTTTGTGACTTAAAATGATCCCTAATATCACCCAACTATCAAGTCCAATACTTATAAATGATATTCTGGACGTTTTATTTTTTCATAGTGTTAGCCTTTTCTTATAATCTATGTTGTAAATGAATTTAGAATTTGACATTCATAACAAAACCTATTGTTAAAAACTAGTTGAATAAAACATTAAATAAAAAAAGAAATACTGGTAACAAAAAAGTTAAAGTTTGTTTTAAAAGCAAAAAATATAGTCTCTAGTTAATGATAAACAGTCTAAAAATAAGTATATACAATTAATTCTTTAATCAAAAATTTACTTCTTTATTAATTTTGCTAAATTGAAGTAGAAAATCTAATCTATTAAAATGAAATGCTAATCTATTAAAACTAGCTGATCTGACCCCTAAAAATACAGTCTATTTCACACCAAACTTTTCTACACTTTTTTCTTATATATATCCTAGCTTTCTGTACCCATAAAATACGGGTCTTTACCAAATCTACTATTTCTATTCTTATCTATTTCACACCGATCATTTCTATACCTATTATTTGTTTACTTAAATATTATTACATTATATAATTCATTTAAAAAAATTGCTTTAAGAGCAAAAAAACTAACATGCGCACTCTTTCAGCATACCTAGAGCTTATAAGAGATTTATAATTAGATTTATTTTTCTCCTAAATGCATATCATAGATAACTCAGTGGTTTAGTGCACTGTCACCAGTGTCATCTTGGGGGATTAAAGCCATCCCCTTATAAATTTTTCAATCTTGCTGTATTTACAGCAATATTTATAGCAAAAATTTTATAATAGTTTTAATTATTTAAATAGCAGAACTATAAAGATCTTAGACCATTAGTAGTTATGGACTATAAAACTCTAAGGGATCCTCCATAAATTACACAATGCTAAATTTATTTTTAAAAAGTAGAAGGAGATCTTCAGTTCTTTAGGGTGGCGATTTTCATTAAACTTAATGAGTTATTTTGAATTTTTATTTAACATACAACTCTTCAAGGAAAAATTTTGATCTTTTTTGTTTTGTTCATTAGTAAAGTTTAGTGTTGCGTAATTTATGGACTATCCCTTATTTAAAAGTTTAGATTAGGGATCAGCCAAAAGTATATAAAGTCAAAAAATAATTGAGTATAATGCTATTTTGATGGTTATCTAAATTTTTTCATTGTTGTGCACTTGGTTAGAATGTTTAATGGGGGTATGGTAAAAAAGCTGTAAACTCTAAATTTCCTTATTGTATTAATATTAAATAACTTTAACTTTTAATTATTTTTAAAAGTAGTTAATTTAATAAAATGGTTTAATTTAAGTTAATCAGAATTTTCAGTTATGTTCTTATATAAAACATACTTTTTTTACCCCCTTACTGTTTTGAAAAAGTTAAGGTCGCCGTGTGGCAAGTTCAAATCATGAGTTTATTTTTTGAATTTTTGTTATTTTAAATGCAAATCTAAACAACTTCATAGTTCTATAGATTTTATATTATATATATAAACATGTTGCATACAAATTTTTCTTGCACAAACTCAACTTAGTTTTAAAAAGACTTGGAATGTAAAACTAAAATAACATAAGTATCGCAACCATGACACATAAACAACAAATATCCCCCCTCCCCATTTTTTAATGTTTTTAGAATTTTTCAAAAATATTTTTGTTTATTAAAATGTATATTATCGTGAGATATGTTTGTATATATTCTTTATAAAATTTCACAAGTATTTTGTATTTTAAAAATTTTTGAAAATTAAAAAAAAAAAAGTTGCCGGTGGTTGGTCTTGAACCATGGCTTTTTTGTTCAGAAGCTCAGCGCGCTAACCACTTAGCCATACTGGCACATTGATTATTAAAATTTTAAAACTATATAAAAAATTTTTTTTAACCGAAGTAAATGCTGTAGATCAAAAAAAAAGAGAGGTTGATGCAATTTTCAAGTAAAAGTAAAACTGTAAAACTTGATATATGTTTAATTATGTTTTAACAGCACATAATTTGATGTTTACATATGTTAGATGTTTGCATACACTTTCGTTCACATTTTCTTATAAAATAAAGTGTTACGACTCTTTTTTGCTATTACCTTGGTTGCAATGGCTGCCAAGAGTTCTGTGTCAAACACTCTTGAAAGGGCACTACTAACACTACTATTAAGTTCAGCAATATTATATAGATTTGCAGTTATAAAATTCTATTGCTAAAATTTATAGCCTGGTTTGTTTATGGTTCAGTAACTCTAGTTGGTAAATGACGCATTGGTTTTTTTTTTCAATCAATTCATTTTTGTTTTTTTTTCTTGATTTTTTGTCTCGATGACCTTTTTGGTACGGGACAGCTTCACTAAAATCAAGACGATCCTGGAAAACCTGGATGTCTGGTTACTCTAAGTTTAGCTGAATGTTTAATTAAACATGTACATACCTACTACTTGTACATGTACAAGTAGTAGGTACATGTGTAATATTGCAATACGACATGTGCTAATAAATCTAATTTCAATTAAACTAAATCTAATTAAATTTTTTTCATTAATATGAGACGTGTGTTTCTTTTTCCATATGAAATTTTATTACTACAGTGATTTTACTGCCATTTTTTTACTGGTATAATAATACTATCATGTAATTACTGCCATGTTGTTACTGCTATGTTATTACTGATATGTTGTTACTACTGCTATGTTATTACTGTTATGTTATTATTATTAATGCTATCTTATTACTGCCATGTTATTATTTTTACTGCCATGTTAATGTTTTTACTGCCATGTTATTACTGCTGTTATTACTGCTATGTTTAAATAAAAATCAAATGTTTACATTTGATAAACTAGGAAAATTTACTGTACTTTGTGAGAGTATATAATTGAACTTTTGCTTACTGTAATTAATAAATGTATATTTTGTTTTATTTTATTTGTATATCTTTTATTTTAAATGTTTATAGGGAGAACTTCCAAGCTTAGTTGACCTTTTATTTGTTGGTATGACCAAGTTTTTTATAAAAAAAAAATTCCTTTGTTTATAAAATTTTTGAATTTTATCTTATTTACATTACAAGCTGTTAATCTGCATTAATATAAGAAACCATTCAATGAAGTCCTTTTATTAAGTTTTTCATTCTTTATTCTTAATTTTATTGAAAAAGTAAAAGTAATAGAAATTAGATATCTTAATTCAACTGAGTATTTTTTAAACTTGCTAAGTTATTACTTAACAAGTTTAAAAAACTTTATGAGTAAAACACTCAGTAACATACTATTTTTATGAGTAAAACACTCAGTAACATACTATTTTCATGAATAAAACACTCATTAATGTACTATTTTCATGAGTAAAAATTCAATAACATACTATTTTCGTGAGTAAAACACTCGATAACATACTATTTTTATGAGTAAAACATTTAATAACGTACTATTTTCAGCGAAGTGGTGGGTTATTTTCAGCGAAGTGGTGGGTTATTTTCAGCAACGTGATGGGTTATTTTCAGCGAAGTGGTGGGTTATTTTCAGCGAAGTGGTGGGTTATTTTCAGCAACGTGATGGGTTATTTTCAGCGAAGTGGTGGGTTATTTTCAGCGAAGTGGTGGGTTATTTTCAGCGAAGTGGTAGGTTATTTGGCTTCAAATAAAAGTAAATTTAGTAGATTATATATCTTTATTTCATTATTCTTTTATTTTATCAATGTTGCAAACTAACAGCTTGTAAAAAAGTTTCAAGTTAACAATATTATCCGTTTTAAAATTAGTGTTTATTTTATAATTTTGTTTATGCTTTTGTGAACAGTAACAATGCTACATTGGTTTGATTAATGAAGTTTAATGCAAGGCCTAAAGTTGTAAAAAATCATTTTTAAGCTGGTGTAGCAGTTTAAAGATACTAGATTACTTTTTTCAACTTGATGCATAAATAGCTAAATAAATTATTATTTTTTTAATTTTAAAGCGTTTTTTTAATGCAATGCCAATATAAATTTTTACAATATTTCACACTGAATAAAATATTTAGGTTGTCTTTTATGAAGTTGACAACAATGTTTTTTAAAAAAGGTGTCTATTGTTACTATAAATAAAGTGCACTTTTAGGTAATCCACTAGAAGAAAAGCATACATCAGAAGGTGATTGGAGAGATCTAGCAATAGCAAAACTTCCAAAGATAAAAAAACTAGATGGTAGAATTTTTATTATAATCATTTTTTTTCATTGATAATTATTGAATATATTGATATTAAAAATAATATATAGGGTATATTGTTATTACAAGGCTATTGTCAGAGCTGGATGCAATTAAGGTGTTATCAAAAGTAGAATTTTAGTACAATAAAAGAGAGATTAACTACTCTTGATTTAAACTGTCTAAGCATTATTTTGGCGTAATATTTTATATTTATATTGGATTTAGGAGAGTTTTCTTAATCTCTTCTTCATATAAAAGGCTAGCGTGAATATGAAAACCTGTCACATTCATTTTATCTTCAATTTACTTGAATTTACTTATAAGTATTTACTTGGGCCTCTTTGGCAGTGGTAATTCTATTTTTTCTGTTATCTCATAAAAAGGATGCAACTCTAAAACTTAGTTTAATATTTTTAAAACCTGTTGGAAATAAGGTTTCTTGCGCTCTATGGTAGCTCTCAGAGAGGTTGATTCCATTAATTGTTGTAAAATGTTAGAGTATTAACAGTGCTAATTAACTTGTGAGTGGCCACATCAGTAGTGTTTTGTTATGCCTTTAGATTGAATAACAGGAATGAAGTATTTGCATTGCTTTTTATAAAAACTTTATAAAAAGCAATGTTTTTTAGTAGAAAAGATTCAGTTAAGCACTTGTTAAATAGTTTAAAGGACAATAAAGAGAAATCTGGAAAACACTTGTAAGATTGTAACAGGTGTTTTGACTACAATCTATACAGAATTTTAAGCAGGATGCAACTTTAGCAACTATAGCAAGAGTTATTTTAATGTCAAATAGTGGGTTAATCTGTTTCTTTGAAATAACAGAAAGAGTGAAATTGTTAAATTCAAGAGATAAATAAGAAGAAAAGTTTTTTGCAAATAGTTCTTATTTTTTAGAACCGCAGTGACCGCCAGGTTTGAAGTCTCCCCACACCCTTTTTTTTTTTTTTTTTTTTTTGTTATTAAGAAATAACACAGTAGTTAAATTAAGTAAAGGTATTGAGAACCTCCATAGAAATGGTTAAAATAATTTTAACTTTAAATAAAAAGGGGAGGGGCGGTATATGAGTAATATTATTGAAGTTTATACATTTCACACAATTTTATGAAAAAACAAAATTTATCACATGCCTTAACCTAATTTTACTCTGTACTTGTGTATACTTATATTATAAATTCATGAAAAAGTGTTTGAACATATATTCTCCAACAGATAACATAGAAAAAAAGCATAGGTATAAAAACAATAATAACAAAATATAATAAATGCATTTAATGTGAATAAATATCTAGAATATGCTTTAGAATACATAAATATTATTATACTTTATCCATACTTAATTAACAGTATATTTCATGCAGATTCACCTGCTTGTTCTGAGTAAATTCCAAGTCCATTATCAGTATTGGTACTTTTGAGAAATAAACAAACAAACTTTTGAGAAATGGGAACAGTATGGTTAACTGTAAAATGAACTTTCCATATTAAATTTAAAGAAATATTTAGGTTTAAGTTACAACTTTTGGAAAAAAACTTTTTTCCAAAAGTTGTAACTATTCCAATTAATTTATGCAACTCAGGTACTGGAACTAAATGTTCTATAATTGTGTCTGGATCCTCCAAAATGTTCTATAATTGTGTCTGGATCAGATACTGGAACTAAATGTTTTATAATTGTGTCTGGATCCTCTTCAAGATATAAAACTCTTGGATTAAATTTTTATAATCAGATATCTTTGATTTTGGTTTTTCAGTTCTACATATTTACTTTATTGATAATTAAGAGAACCAAGAGTTCATTTTGCCCCACCATCCAAAAGACTCTCCTTCACACAACAAACAACTATATTTTCCAGCATGTGATTGCCAAACATTGAGTTTGCACACTTTAAATTGAATGCAACAAAATACTTAATATTTTGAAGATTAAGAGTATCAACTAATTTCCTAAGATTTCCATTGTGTTCAGATATTCCTTCTACAATAGCAACAATAAAACAACGCATAACTCCAGCATCATCAAGGTCAGATTGGTTGCTAGTTTTATTATGCAGATTGACCAGAATCCACAGCAACCCTTACAATTGTAGAAAGAGGGTCAATATTTCTTTCAGTGTTTACAACATAAATTCATCAATATTCTATATATAAACCATTAATTTATTTACTATATCACCAGCTTCAAAAAATTTTTTTTTTATATAAAAAAAAATTTTTTTTAAAAAAAATTTTTTTTTATAAAAAAAAAATTTTTTATAAAAAATTTTTTTTTATATAAAAAAAATTATTTATTTCTTTTTCTTTATATAAAAAAAATTATTTATTTCAGCTTTTAAAGTTTCTAATTTTTCAAATATATTTCCTTCAATACTACTTTAAAACCCAAGACTCTTTCTAAATATAGAGTACATTTTTTTTTTGGTTTTACACTGGGATAGTTTTTATATAAACATTTTATAAGCTCCATAATTGTTCTGAAAAACACTTGATTTAGACTTGCACAATCAACTTTTTTGTCCATAGTCCCAGCTATTGACAACAGTCAATGGTTTCCCATGAGTAGCAGTTGTAAATTTTTCACCTCTAAAAATATTTTCATTTTGCATTTTAGTTTTTAGGATACTTAGCAACACGTTCTGCACTTGCTGATCCCAATGCATATGCTGCATTATCTAGATTTTTTACAGCTTAAAAATTCACACAAAGGTGAAGCCTGAAGTTCCACAACATTTTAAACACATTTTATTTTTATTATGATTTAACTCAAAAGTAAAAATTTTATTATCTTTTGATATTTCTAAAACATCAGAATTTCTTCTGATAACTTGACAGTTTATATAAACAAATAAATGTTTCTTTATTCAGATCAATTTATATTTTATGGTTTATATTTTATGGTTTAGAGCAAAACTTTCAATTTTGTTAATTAAGATTTAAATTCATTTTTTAAGTAAACATAAATAGAATAATGGATTTATTATAATAATTTCGAGACAGTTCTTTCTTTTTGCAAAATCGATAAAAACAAACGCCCGAGAAAAATTTGCATCACAACTTGTTAAGTGGAGTAGTTAACATTGGTCAAAGATTCTTTTAAGTGATGAAAACAAGTTTTTACAGTTTGGAACAGATAGAATCAAGTTTGTTTGACATTAATAGGTACAAAATAAATCCTAAATCCCCGTAAAACACGGAGGTAGTAATGTAATGATTTTGGGATGTTTTTGTCAGGATAGTGTTTATCCGCTCTATAGATACACTGGAACTATTGATCAAGCAATATAAAAAGACATGAAAGAGCATTGTGTTACCTCCTGCAAAAGATAAAATGTTTTGTGGATGTACCATCAGGATAATGATCCCAAACACACAGGCAAATTAGTTCAAAATTCTTTAAGAAGAGTATAGTTTGTATTTTGAAGTGGATATCCTAATCAAGTGACTAAAATTAGATGCCATTGATCAGATTATAGGAGCATGTTGACCGTCAAATATTAGGCAGCAAACTTACAAATCATGCTAACTTATTTAGAAAAATTAAAGAAATATTGCACTCAACCCCATTGATGTTTGCGTTATATTAATTGACTTAATGCCTCGTAGATGCGAAGCCTTTCTTGTTTCTAAAGGTAGTCCTACAAGATATTAATGTAATTTTGCATTTCTAATAAATTTTTATCAAGTATTGTTAAAAGTTTCTACTATTTTAAATATAAACGCTTTGTTCGCAAATCTTTGAACTCTTTTAAAATGTTACGTTGATACGTAACAGTTTTTAAAGTGTTATAGAATATTGATAATTTAATCAACGTTCTTACATTGATTAAATTATCAATATTCTATAACTTTAATTAATTTAATACAAAAAAAATTGTAGTAAACATAAAAACCTTTTAATTGGTATTGTTGGCTTTAGTAAAGTATGTGCAGAAATATTGGTAGAATTCAAATTTTTTTACTATGTTGGCAAATTTTTTGGACGCTACTGTAAGCTGATGGAGACAAAGAACTTGCTTAGCCAAATTGATCAGAAACATTATTAAAAAGGGTGTAATTTTGTGAATAATAACAAATATCGAAAAGCAAGGTGATTGGATAAAAAAATGCCAAGCAAAAAAAAAAAAAAAAAAGATTTGCAAGAACATTCAAACCTAATTTCACATTAAATAGGTTAATTGACATATAGTTATATTTCCAGACCAAGCATGCGACTATTGGAATCTTTATGAATCAAAGAATAATATCCATTAATGCTTAATTCTGAAGATGAAACAGTCTAATTTAAATTAATTTTACAAAGAGCAAATAGGTCTAGTGAATTTGGCAAGAGTTGAGATGCGATGGATGAAAAGTTAATTTGAAGACCGCAAATATTTGTAAGAATAGATTGAACAAGTTGACGGTAATTATGATTTTTATTGTTTAACATTTGGAGGTACTTTATTCCTAATTTAAATTTAAAAAAAACTTTACTCAATCATATATTATACATGATACATTTGTTCACTTTGGTTAGGATAAAATAAATTAGGTAACCTAATACTTCAACTAAAGTTGAGGTCTGTTTCCTACAAATAGAAACTCAAAAGTCCTATAAGAATTTGGAACAAAAAAAATTTCAGACTTGAATCCCATTAAATTAAAATACATAAGTCTGCGCCAGAAATAGTCATTTTAAAAATATTTGATGCACTTAGTTCGGTCATTCCATAAAGTTCAAGTTATTTTACGAAATCTATAGATATCGGCTCGCGTTTCCAGTTAAGTCAAATACTATGGCTATGGCAAAATTTATTCTTGGCTGTTTTTGTTTTTGATTACTCAAGTCAAAAAGTCCTATAAGAATTTGGAACAAAAAAATTTTCAGATATGAATCCCATTAAATTAAAACACATAAGTTAAATAGTGTTTATATTAATCAAAGTTTTGGCTATTTTTTTGTCTTAAAATCCCATAGGTCCTAATCGACTTTTTGACTAGGGTACCTATGGTTAAATTTCATTTATATATACTAGTAATTTTTCTGTGTTTAGGCATACCAGTGGTTAGACAAGATGAAGATGAAGAATAAAAGATTATGATGGTCTTCAACGTAATATCGACGGTTAACAACAAATTCAATGTTTTTCAATTAGCTTCTTTACAAAGTTTTTATTAACAGTTTTATATACAGTTATATACAAATATGCACTTCCTTAATGAAGATGACTATATTGAGTTATTTTAGAAGATTTTTTAATAGTAGTGGAACCAAAAAAGTATTAGTAAAAAGGTCCTCTATACCGATAGTCATTAAAATTAAGGTGCTTTATTTTTGAAGTATAAAAAAATTATATAGCGCGTTAAGTTTCAATTAGATAATAAAGGTAATTTTTAACATAAAAAGTAAACAAAAAATTCATGATTAATACTACCAGCTAGCACAATCAACGTTGAAAAACCGTTGAAATTTATGGTTGAAAAATGGTTGATTTTTGGTTAAAATGGAAACACAAATCAACGTTGGAAAAAAAAAACGTTCGATCAACGTTGAAAAATCAATGATTGATTAACATTGATTCAACCAACTTATATATGAGTTTGTAAACCTCCAAAATACAGCTTTTTGCGCCGTGACTCTTTTAATCCGAAAAAACAGTTATTTTTAGTACAATATTGTGTTGTTATGAGTAAGAAAAGAAACAATAATTCTTCATAAACTTAAAACAGCTGTCATAGAACAATATCTTATGCTATTATACTGCACATCTTGTTCTCAATTTTTACAGCTTTCATTTATTATTATTAGTAGTATTATTAATTTATTTTATATTATAATACTAACTACTGTTATAGTTTTACAAATAATCTGCTTTGTACCATTATTAACGCAGGTAACTAAGTTATAGAAATTGAAAAGCCATTATTGAAAGCAAATAAAATCAAAAAAAATAATTTATATATTTTTAGAACAAAAACTTATACAAAATTAAATTATTTTCAAAACGAACTTGATAAAATCATGATATCTTTGTCTTCAACACCAATGTCAAATTCATGTGTTTTTATCGCCTGCTGTCATCAGACTCATTTTGATTTGGTGCACATTTCTCACGATCCAATCAATATGGTGCAAAGTTCAAACAGTCTATGTGTCTTTTTATTTAAGAACATTAGGTAACTGCATCTAAATAAAAATAACTTTAAAGTAATGTAGATTTGTACATTTTAAAATTATTATTATACTTTACATTGTTCACAAGCGAATGTGAACATTAACTGATCAATAGTGGGAAAAAAAACAACCCATAACTAATCCATGCATAATTTACTTCATTATTGACCGAGATATCAACCTATTTGAATAAAGATACATTATACATTAACGTCATACATCAACGTATATACACACATAACACAAACCTTTTAGACAGATATATGCTTAAGTCAAACATTCGTTTAGTAGAACCGTTTTCCTTGGTCTCCTGGAGGGTTAAGATATCTTTAATTACCTGTATTTATATATATATATATATATGTATATAATTATACACATATATGTATAAATACATATGTATATATATATATTATATATATACGCATATAATATAATATATATATATATATATATATATATATATATATATATATATATATACATATATATATATATATATATATATATATATATATATATATTATATATATATATATATATATATATATATATCGGTAGAAGCAGCACAAAGAAATATACATACCATAACACCACTATTATACATAACAATAACACCTTTTAAATATTTAAAATATTTTTTTGTTTTGTTTGTTTTGTTTTAGATTAGGTCAAGTAAAATTTGTTCTTTAATTTGCCATTAACCTGCGAAATCTAAATAAATTTAATCAAAAAAAACAAAAAAAAACAGTAAAAGTACAATGAAACCACAAATCAATTAAATTAATGGAATACTCAAATCACAAATTAAAAAAAAATTATTGAAATCATGGCAAAGAAATGTGATAAACATAATCTTATTTAAAATCTTTAAAACCAGACATGAATACAATTGTGAGGTTAAAGTTATTAAACAAACTAATCTAGACTAGTCTATACAAATGTGATTTGATACTAAACGGATATATTGAAATATTAAAAAGAAGAAAGAAAGTTAGGGAAAAAGCGGTTTGAAAACAGCTTTTTCCCTTCTTTTTTTTAATAAATTTTTCTTTTTTTATAAGTGCCAACTATTTTATACATACTATAAATAAGAAAATAATAAATAATTAAAAGAAATAAAGTAAATAAATAATTATAATAATATTAATAAATAAAATAAGAAGAAATAAAAAATTTGTTTAACAATTTGTCATCTATGCAACTTGATGATTTAGATTATATTATGTGTAAAAAAATCCAAGATAATTATCTATGATGGCAGAGTAATAAAAGTTAATTAAAAAAGTCATAATTTACATTCGTTGTTACTTTCATAATGTTTATAAAATGACATGCAATAAATACATGAATACAACAAATACTTTACATAAGATTTGATAAAGATTAAATGGTTTTTAATACTCCTCTTATAAATATATGAATAATCATTTATATATAATAGGTTAAAATACCTGTAGTTTCATCACATTTTAGTTTAAACTTATACTAACCAACTGTTGTACTTTATTTTAATTTTTTACTGCAAATTTCACATTTCGATTCGGACAATGGACAAAACCATTCTTTATTCAACTTAATAAAATTTCATTTTATACAAACAACATTGGCTTTTGACTATACAACCAAAACATACTGGTCTACACTATAGTTTCACAATTATAAGACTTTGATTGTATATCATATATATATATATATATATATATATATATATATATATATATATATATATATATATATATATATATATATATATATATATATATATATATATATATATATATATATATATTTATATATTTATATATTTATATATTTATATATATATATATATATATATATATATATATATATATATATATATATATATTTTATTTGCATTCACTCCCAACAAGGCTGCAAGCAACCACTATTAAGTTGGGAGTTACTAGGAAAAAAAAAGAACAGAGTTATAGAGCAAGGAAACGGTTGACAGAAGACTTGAAAAGTTGAAGGTTGTATGAGTCAGGAAAACATGAAGATGGGAGAGAGTTCCAAAGGATTGAAGTGCGGGGAAAAAAACTAGATGAATAAAAGTTTTTAGAGCATGTAGGGACAGATACAGTAAACGAATGAGACTTAGCTGAATGAAGAGTAAAACGAGAATGAATTTTAGTTGATGGAACTAGAGATGATAACTCCTTTGAGCAGTGACCATAATAGTATCTGTAGAAAAGAGAAAGAGATGCAACTTTACGACGATGGGAAAGAGGTTCACGCTTAGCAGATAGTCCAGATCCAACAACATTTACAATGTGTTTTTGGACCTTGTCAAGAAGAGAAAGTGAATCGTTAGAAGAACCAGCCCAAATATGACAACAGTATTCCATACAGGGACGAATAAGAGATTTGTAGAGGTAGAGAATGGAATCAGAAGTAAGGAAATGGCGAGCACTATAAAGAGAAGCAACCTTAGCAGAAGCTAATTTAGCAATCGATTGTATATATGGTTTCCATGAAAGGTCAATATTAAGCGATAATCCAAGAAGACGTAAAGAGGACGACTCAGTAAGAGGATTACCATTCATTAATATAGGAATGTTGACCATATTACGGTAGTTGTTTGCAATAACCAATTGGGTTTTTTTAGAGTTGAAATTCACAAGCCACTGTGAACCCCAATCTATTACTGAAGTGAGATCAGATTCAAGATCAGCTGCTTGTTCAAGACGATCGAAAAGAGAAGACTTTTTGTCAAGACAGGAGTATAAAGTTGAGTCATCAGCAAAAAGAGCTACTTTAGATGAAAGGTTGTCAGGAAGATCGTTTATGTAGATAAGAAACAAAACAGGGCCCAGGATAGAACCTTGGGGAACCCCAGGAGTTACTGGAAATAAAGAAGAGTGTTTGCCTTCAAGGATGACTTTAATAAACCGGTTAGAAAGAAATGATTTGATAATCTCAAAAACTTTCCCAGAAACACCATATGAAGCAAGCTTATGGAGAAGACCAGCATGCCAAACTTTATCGAAAGCTTTAGATATGTCGAGAGCAATAGCCCTAGCCTCACCGCTTCCATCTAATGCACGATAAAATCTTTCAGTTACAGCAGTTAGCAAGTCGGCCGTAGAGCGAGAGGATCGAAAACCGTATTGATTTTCTGACAGTAGTTTATTTGACTCAAGATGAGATGTGAGGAATTTGTTGATCAAAGACTCAAAAACCTTGCTAATAACAGAAAGAAGACTGATCGGACGATAATTCGAGGGGTCAGAATTTTCTAATAGAGTTTTTAAATATTGGAACCACAGATGCCATTTTCCAACAAGCAGGAAAACAAGACTCAGTCAAACACTTGTTAAATAGTTTAGAGAGAATTGAAGAAAGTTCTGGAGAACAATTCTGCAAGACTGTGACAGGAATGTTGTCTGGACCACAAGCTGTAGACGAGTTTAATTGAGATATGACTTTAGCAACAGAAGCCGGAGTGATTTGAATGTCTAACAATGGGTCAACCTGTTTGACTGAAATGGAAGGAAGAGAATGTCCATAAGATACAAGAGTGGAATTAGAAGAAAAGTTCTTTGCAAACAGTTCTGCCTTATCCCTGGGAGAGGTAACAAGATCAGTCCCATAAATGAGAGATGGAATGTTAGATCTACCCTTGTTAACAATGCTGTTGAAGATTTTCCAAAAGTCTTTAGAGCCTAACTTCTGCGATAAGATGTGAGATTTAGTGAACTGAGAATAATGGAGTTTAGCATCAGAAAGCACCTTTTTACATCGATTTCTTGCAATAATAAATAGCCGTTTGTTCTCAAGAGAGTTGTTCTTTTGAAAAAGATGAAAAAAATGATTACGATTGGATATAGCAGCCGCACAAGAAGGAGAAAACCATGGAGTAGAATGAGACTAGACTTGTGAACAAGTTGCCAATATTGTTGTTCTCTCTCTCTCTTTACCCCTCTGCCAATATTGTTGTTGAACAACAACAATATTGGCAGAGGGGTAAAGAGAGAGAGCATGGTCGATTTGATCAGAGATAACATCTAAAAGAGTGCAATCGTGGGAAGAAGGAAAACGATAAA